GATCCTTTCCTGATGTCAATGCAGATTTTGGCTTTTCCTAGTGTTGATATCGTGCAACATCTCCCAATTGGCTTTCACTTTAAAGTTCTAAAATTGCATCAATTTCCAACTGTTTCTGCCCGGTTTCGAACACAGGGACCTTTCGGCGTGTTAGGCGAACGTGCTAACCACTACACTACAGAAACTGCACAATACATCTTCCTGCACCTCCAGAAATTTGGGTCACCTTAAGAATTTATACAGCTGCTCAAAAACGAGAAAAGTAGATGTCTACTGAAAGCGTGACATTTTTAGGCAAAGAACTGCCATACTGCTGTTTCTGTAGTGTAGTGGTTATCACGTTTGCCTCACATGCGAAAGTTCCCAGGTTCGAAACCGGCAGAAACATTTGGGTCTGATAGCTGGTTGAGATCGGAACTCATTGATCGTTTCCTGATGTCAATGCAGGTTTTGGATTTTCTTGTTTGATATCTGTCAACATTTACTAGGTACAAATGGCCTTCCCGTTAATGTTCTAAAAATGTATCAAATTCCAGATGTTTCTGCCCGGATTCAAACAGGGGACCATTCGCGTATTAGGCCACTGGTGATAACCACTACACGACAGAAACTGCACAACGCAGCTTCCTGCACCTCCAGAAATTTGGGTCGTTAAAAGGGGCACTTGGCAACTCTGGCCATTTCTTCGCTGGTTTTCACTTTTTGTGGTCGCATGTTTTCTCAACCGAGCTCCCCCTACAGGTCTGGGACGTATATTACACAACACTGTCCGTAAAAAAAAACTCACTTGCGGCACCCTCCTCCCCCTTTCTACCACCGCTGCTCATGTGCATTTGAAGAGTTCAGATGCAAAAGCCTCTAAACGCCACCTCCGTCAAAAATGAGATAAATATATTGAGTGACTGCTCTCCGCACGTAGTATATGGTATTCAAATCATTTCGCGTCAAAAACCCGCAAAATACCACTCTTTTTCCTCGTCTGAAATCTCGATTTGTAGGCATAAAACCTCTAAACGGCCACTTCCCTTTGTCAGCAAAAGCCGCTACGTTCCGAGAACCAATCACAACGCAAACACGGAATCATGTGACTTCACCCAGTTAACATGGGCGGCGCGCTGAGGAGCCGGCTTAGATCGCTTCTAAGATAGATTATAGATCATATAGATAGACTCTTTATTATATTATTCTTTATTATTTATTTATATGCTTTATCTTTATTATAGATTATAGATATATCCTTCCTCAGATCGCATAGATGCGTGATCTATGCGGATGCATAGATGCGCCATCTATGCGGATGCATAGATGCGCGATCTATGCGGATGCATAGATGCGCGATCTGAGGAAGGCCAGACGGCCGAAACATTATCACCGTAATAAACTACCGACGTTGTTCACAACTCGGAGTGTGCGGCACCGCTCTCCTTGTACTGATCTTCTCTCTCAGTTGCCAGCACCTCACATTTGGTGTGTGTTTGCACCTCTCCTTTCAAGCATGGGGAGTATTGTCAGTTCGTTGAGGTCTCTTTAAAAAAAAAAAATCAGATTTACGTCTTTTCTCTTATATATAGGCCTACTTGATTATATGCCAAATGGTTTTGAACGTAATAAGCTTTTTTAATTAATGTAATGAGCTTTTTTATAGTTGAATCTGATGCCCAAACATAAGAAATTAACTTACTTGACCACTTTTAACTTTTTTTTCATGTTTTATTTTTTTTATATAATTTATTGTTATTCCATCATTTACATATAATATAATAATAATATAAATATATAATATATATAAGTGATTTTACTACTTTTGACTATGTCTTGTCCAAATATGTGGATTTAGAGGGTTTTTGCCAAAAAAGTACCGGTGGATTTAGCTGTTTTTGACGCAAAAAAAAAATGTATTTGGTAAAAACACATAAAAAGACTAAAGTGACATTTTTGAAAAAAAAAAGTTTTATTCATTAACTAATAACCTTATCATTTTCATTAAAATAAAATGACTGAACTTGAACATAGAAGCCTGATAAAAAATGGTCATTTATAAGAAAAGTGGTCAAACGGATTTAGAGGCTTTTGCATCTAAACTCTTCATTTGTTGCCGGGTTTTTCGTGTGGCGCGATGTCTACCGAGGTGGGTAGTACATTATACACTGTATCATAGAACACTGACATGTATAGCCGGCGTGATTAACCGTTATTGAGGGGGGCGTGTGTGTTTACGTTGAATTACCGTAAAGCAGTTTGTGTTTCTCGCTCGTTCTCGCTTCTCGCGATACTTCCCATTTCCAATTTACCGGGACGGTAGTCCCAAAGTTGCAAGGCTGGTTTTCCACCGGGGGGCGCCGGGGGGAGCGGGGGACAGTCACCGTTAACACCGGAACAGACCATTTAACCATCCAAATGATTTCCAGACGGGTTTATTAAGTTGAAAAAGTTGCCAAGTGCCCCTTTAAGAATTCATATAGCTGCTAAAAACGCCAAAATTAGATGTCTACTGAAAGCACGAGATTTTTAGGCGTAGAACACAGTCGCAGCTGTTTCTGTAGTGTAGTGGTTATCACGTTCGCTTTACACGCGAAAGGTCCCTGGTTCGAAACCGGGCAGAAGCATTTGGGTCTGATAGCTGTTTGAGATCGGAATTTATTGATCCTTTCCTGATGTCAATGCAAGTTTTCGCTTTCCCTTGTTTGATATCATGTCAAAATCTGCTAGATACAAATGGCTTTCCCTTTAATGTTCTAAAAATGTATCAAATCCTGAAGTTTCTGCCCGGTTTCGAACCGGGGACCTTTCGCGTGTTTGGCAAACGTGATAACCACTACACTACAGAAACTGCACAACGCAGCTTCCTGCATCTCCAGAAATTTGGGTCATTTAAGAATTCATACAGCTGCTAAAAACGAGAAAAGTAGATGTCTACTGAAAGCGTGACATTTTTAGGCAAAGTACAGCCATACCGCTGTTTCTGTAGTGTAGTGGTTATCACGTTCGCCTCACACGCGAAAAGTTCCCGGGTTCGAAACCGGGCAGAAACATTTGGGTCTGATAGCTGGTTGAGATCGGAACTCATTGTTACTTTCCTGACGTCAATGCAAGTTTTCGCTTTCCTTGTTTGATATCATATCAACATCTACAATCACGTTAATGTTATAAAATTGCATTAAATTCCCAATGTTTCTGCCCGGTTTTGAACCGGAGCCCTTTCGCGTGTTAGGCGAACGTGATAACCGCAACACTACAGAAACTGCACAATGCAGCTTCCTGCACCTCCAGAAATTTTGGGTCGTTTAAGAATTCATACAGCTGCTAAAAATGAGAAAAGTAGATGTCTGCTGAAAGTACGACATTTTCAGGCAAAGTACAAATATACAACTGTTTCTGTAGTGTAGTGGTTATCACGTTCGCCTCACACGCGAAAGGTCCCCGGTTCGAAACCGGGCAGAAACATTTGGGTCTGATAGCTGGTGAGATCGGAACTCATTGTTACTTTCCTGATGTCAAGGCAAGTTTTCGCTTTCCTTGTTTGATATCATATCAACATCTACTAGATACAAATGGCTTTCCCTTCTAAAAAATTCTAAAAATGTATCAAAATCCATATGTTTCTGCCCGGATTCAAACAGGGGACCATTCGCCGTGTTAGCCGACACGTGATAACCACTACACTACAGAAACTGCACAACGCAGCTTCCTGCGCCTCCAGAAATTTGGGGTCATTTAAGAATTCATATAGCTGCTAAAAACGAGAAAATTAGATGGCTACTGAAAGCTCGAAATTATTAGGCAAAGTACAGCCATCCAGCTGTTTCTGTAGTGTAGTGGTTATCACGTTCTCTTTACACGCGAAAGGTCCCTGGTTCGAAACCGGGCAGATGCATTTGGGTCTGATAGCTGTTTGAGATCGGAATTTATTGATCCTTTCCTGATGTCAATGCTTTCCCTTTAATGTTCTAAAAATGTATCAAATCCTGACGTTTCTGCCAGGTTTCGAACGGTGAACCTTTCGCGTGTTAGGCAAACGTGATAACCACTACACTACAGAAACTGCACAATGCAGCTTCCTGCACCTCCAGAAATTTGGGTCATTTAAGAATTCATACAGCTGCTAAAAACGAGAAAAGTAGATGTCTACTGAAAGCGTGACATTTTTAGGCAAACTACAGCCATACCGCTGTTTCTGTAGTGTAGTGGTTTTCACGTTCGCCTCAAACAAGAAAGGTCCCCGGGTTCGAAACCGGGCAGAAACATTTGGGTCTGATAGCTGGTTGAGATCGGAACTCATTGTTACTTTCCTGACGTCAATGCAAGTTTTCGCTTTCCTTGTTTGATATCATATCAACATCTACAATCACGTTAATGTTATAAAATTGCATTAAATTCCCAATGTTTCTGCCCGGTTTTGAACCGGAGCCCTTTCGCGTGTTAGGCGAACGTGATAACCGCAACACTACAGAAACTGCACAATGCAGCTTCCTGCACCTCCAGAAATTTGGGTCATTTAAGAATTCATACAGCTGCTAAAAATGAGAAGAGTAGATGTCTGCTGAAAGTACGACATTTTCAGGCAAAGTACAAATATACAGCTGTTTCTGTAGTGTAGTGGTTATCACGTTCGCCTCACACGCGAAAGGTCCCCTGTTCGAAACCGGGCAGAAACATTTGGGTCTGATAGCTGGTGAGATCGGAACTCATTGTTACTTTCCTGATGTCAAGGCAAGTTTTCGCTTTCCTTGTTTGATATCATATCAACATCTACTAGATACAAATGGCTTTCCCTTCTAAAAAATTCTAAAAATGTATCAAAATCCATATGTTTCTGCCCAGATTCAAACAGGGGACCATTCGCGTGTTAGCTGAACGTGATAACCACTACACTACAGAAACTGCACAACGCAGCTTCCTGCGCCTCCAGAAATTTGGGTCATTTAAGAATTCATATAGCTGCTAAAAACGAGAAAATTAGATGGCTACTGAAAGCTCGAAATTATTAGGCAATGTACAGCCATCCACCTGTTTCTGTAGTGTAGTGGTTATCTCATTCGCTTTACGCGCGAAACGTCCCTGGTTCGAAACCGGGCAGAAGCATTTGGGTCTGATAGCTATTTGAGTTCGAAACTCATTGTTACTTTCCTGATGTCAATGCAAGTTTTCGCTTTCCTTGTTTGATATCATATCAACATCTACAATCACGTTAATGTTCTAAAAGTGCATCAAATTCCCAATGTTTCTGTCCGGTTTTGAACCGGAGCCCTTTCGCGTGTTAGGCGAACGTGATAACCACTACACTACAGAAACTGCGCAATACATCTTCCTGCACCTCCAGAAATTTGGGTCGTTTAAGAATTCATACAACTGCTAAAAACGAGAAAAGTAGATGTCTACTGAAAGCGTGACATTTTTAGGCAAAGTACGGCCATACCGCTGTTTCTGTAGTGTAGTGGTTATCACATTCGCTTTACACGCGAAAGGTCCCTGGTTCGTAACCGGGCAGAAACAATTGGGTCTGATAGCTGGTTGAGATTGGAACTCATTGATCCTTTCCTGATGTCAATGCAGATTTTGGCTTTCCTAGTTTGATATCGTGTCAACATTTCCCAATTGCTTTCACGTTAAA